TCTGATCATTCCCCTAGGAGGAGTTCGCAAGAACGTGCGTAAAATGGCTGAAAAACGCATTTTTCTAAATGGCCGACTTTGTGGGGGGCGGGGCTAATGGAAGGCAATTTGAAATATGTGTGCAATCATAATAGCAATATGTATACAGCGTTTCGTGAATATCGGATTAACTATATCCGAGTAGTTTGGAGTCATGTGGAGTAATTTGTGACATGTAAATTGTCAAAAATGGTGTATTCGCTGTTAGCTTACAACCTCCACGAGTGATTTAAAAAAAATGTGCTCCTCAATTAAGTTTCATATTGGATAGGGGCTGAACGTGTCCTGGATTGGAATTTTTCCGATCATTCCCCTATGAGGAGTTCGCAAGAACGTGCGTAAAATGGCTGAAAAACGCAATTTTTTCAAAATGGCCGACTTTCTGGGGGGCGGGGCTAATGGAATGTATTTCCAAATATATCCGCAATTCCATGAGAAATGTCTGTGCCAAAATCCGTGAAGTTCTGAGAAACTATATGTGACTACCACACAATAGGAGGCGCTAGTGAGCAGTTTTTTTGAAAATGTACGTTTTTTTTTTACATTCTCGAAAAGGTCCTGGGCTCTGACGTGTGTCCAAAGTTTTGCGTCCGAAGCTCATTTTATGCTATCGCAATTTAAAAATAATGTATAGGCCACGCCCACATTCTGCATTTGTTTCGACACTTTGAATCTAAGTTCGTAGTCGCCCCAAGATTATACAACTTTGTCAGCGTCCTAAAGGCCTCAAAAACAGGAAAGATGGCGACTAAAAATAATAATACCACCAATAACAATAGGTATCCTCGCACTTCGTGCTAGGACGCCGTTGGGTCCTAGCACTCCGTGCTCGGGCCCTAATTAGGCCCCGTTCAAGCAGACTAACATATATTGAACAGTTTTCCATATGCTTACTCGTTTTGCAGTGAACAGTTGCTTAACTTTGACACATAACTTATGAAACTATTTACAAAAAACATGAATATGGAGGTTGCAAATGGATAACAACACTAGTAGCAGCCAGAGGTCGCGTTAACCGAATATTTTCTGTCTATGACGGATTTTTTTTAACAATGACGGAAAAATCTGAAAGCAGTCCGTCATTTTGACGGATTAGAACAAACTCGGAACAGCGCCAAAGTTTCCCCGCAGCGAGTCTCCGGTGTTAAGCATGCCTGCCAAAAAGGAAATGATACAGTTTCCAAAGCCAACTTTGCCGTACAAATCATTGAAATGTCTGTGAGTTTTGGCTTTACGCTGTGTGTACTCCCGCGAGGTGCAGTGGGCATGCATAACACGGCGCTAACGGTTCACGAGCGTGCGCCCCGCCCCCCGTTGACAGTTCACGACTGTGCTTCCCCCCCCCACACCCCCGTTGACAGTTCACGACGGTGCTTCCCCCCCCCCCAAGAGTGTAAAGGCCGACGGGTAATACTGAATTTTGACGGACATTTTACGATCCTGTCCGTCAAAATGACAGGCAGTGAAAAAGTCTAGCCCAACCTCTGGTAGCAGCAGACATTGAAAGTTACTCAGGCCCCATTTCATGCGGGCTCCAAGCAACATATACAATGTAGTGTTCTAGGTCAGTAAATTACAAAAAATGTGTTGATTGGCCACGACACGTAACACATATTGACACATACAAAACAAACCAATAACTTAATATACATTATATAGATGTATACATATATATTTACAGATATTTACAAATATGCACACACAAGTATAGACAAATAGACAGTAAACTGGACACGACACGTAACACATATTTGACATACAAAACAAACCAATAACTTATATAGATATATACATATATTTACAGCTATTTACAAATATGTACACTAAAACACAGAAATGGCCAACAACAATGGTTTACATTTGCAACCTCCTTTTACACTAGCAGTGCCACCTACTGTCTCACCAAGTGTTTTCCCCTGGACTGTTCTTCTTTGCCCTTGGAGAAAGAGAAGATGGTAGGCACAGCAGTGTCCTTCTCTAATAAAATAACAACAAAAATGACATTATTGCAGAGCAAGACGTTGTTTTTCACAAAGGACATTTATGACTTTAAGTTATGTTGACATTTTTATTTTGGTTTGAAATTAACAGTGTACTTCAAAGACAATCTAGGGCGATTATGAATTATCTAATAATAATTTAATAATAATTCCTTACATTTATTATAGCGCTTTATCAATGACTCAAAGCGCTTTACATATACACACACATTACACATATATGATACATGCAATGGTCAGATACTGTGGACAATACCCACAGGAGCAAGTTCAGGTGAAGTGTCTTGCCCAAGGACACACCGGCTTTACAGACGCAGCAGCGGCGGGTTTCACCCCTTGATCTGATGATCATTGCACAGCGCACTGCGCCACACCGTCCATCTTCACGCCTCGAGGTCATCGAGGCGCTTTTACAGGTACACATTAGTATTATACATGTACTGTGGACAATACCCACAGGAGCAAATCCGGGTGAAGTGTCTTGCCCAAGGACACAACGGCCTGACGCAGTGGCGGCAGGAGCGGGTTTCGAACTGGAGTTCCCCAGCACTCCCCCTTGATCTGATGATCGGATGCACAGACCACTGCGCCACCCGTCCCAATCTATCTGCATATTTAACATGAACAATTATTGTTGCAATTAATATAATAATACAAAGTAAAATAAGCTTATTGAAGCTTGCTATTTATTTTTTAACAAATATGTGGGGAAATGTTCCATCTATGATAAAGACTTTATGGATTAATTGCACACAAATGTGATAGGTTGCTTTAAAAAAAAAGGATTTTAATGTTGCTCTACTGGCAAATTCTTCATTTGGCCTTTCATCAATTAAAAAAAAGGGTCTATACCCATGACTCAGTGCTGTAGTGATGACACTCAAAGTGTTCACTGCAGAGGAGAGAAGAAACCTTAGGGGTCCAGTGCAGTCCTCTGATTGACTGTGTGTGTGTGTGTGTGTGTGTGTGTGTGTGTGTGTGTGTGTGTGTGTGTGTGTGTGTGTGTGTGTGTGTGTGTGTGTGTGTGTGTGTGTGTGTGTGTGTGTGTGTGTGTGTGTGTGTGTGTGTGTGTGTGTGTGTGTGTGTGTGTGTGTGTGTGTGTGTGTGTGTGTGTGTGTGTGTGTGTGTGTGTGTGTGTGGCCATCTCTTACCGGGTAGCTTCATATCCAACTAGGCAATTTTCACTCATCAGTTTGTCCAACGCACCACGTGAAGCGTCGCTTTTAAACACCATCCCACCCACCACATCAATCCTTCCACACCACACATTAAAATCACCCACCACCATACAGTTCCCCTCACATTTCCCATCCAACCCCTCAAAGAACATATTTCTTTCCTTTTCCTCATTTGGAGCATACACATTTATTAATTTATACAATTCCCCCATGCACTCTAAGAAAAATCTGTAAAATGATGGCCAATGTGGTGTCAAATGTGACTGTTTAAGTACTGTAATCGACTTTTACATTACTTTTGCCGTTGAAAACAGTGTTGCCAGGTCTGCTTATTATAAGTGTCCCCGAAGATTTTATTTGAAAATAGCAGATCTACAAGCTCACAACCATATTTATATATTTATATCGTCGCGGCACGTTGTGATCTGCTATTTTCTAATAGTTGCTGTATAGGTTTAAAGTGCTCATGTGGCCCACTTCACTTCTTTTGGACTTTTTTCCCCTTGACCTTGTGGCTTGTTTGTGTCCCTCACAGAATCTGGCAACACTGGTTGCGCATTGCATTGTGGGTGCTTTTGCCCGGTAAAAAATATCTGTGGTGGCCGCCATTACAGGAATCCGTCCGCACTGAAAGTTAAACTGAAAGTCTGCTCGGTACGGTAGGTTGGTTCACTTCATTGTGTTTAATTTGGGAATGGAACCTCATTTCTTAATCAAAAAGGACATTTGTGGTAAACATAAAGTTTGTGTTAATGTTAAATATTTGTTTTATTACGTGGACGTCTGGCAGGTAACTCTTCTAACTGGCCCCAGTTAGAATATAGTCCTTAAGCAGTATCCCCCCGTGCAAAAGTTGGCCAGTTCATTGAATTGATAGGTAAAGTTTGTATTTATGGTTAGTTTATTTTCGCAGGTTTGTGTGTTGTTGTTTTATTAGTAGCTTTTCAACCGGGCTAACGTTAGCTTCCATTGGCAGAGTGTTTCCCCCCCAAACACTGCGGTCAATACAGCTATAATAGTATCATATCGACTAATATGTATTCGATAGGCTTCGTTGACATTTGAAGGTGTGTGTGTTATGTTGTGGTTACATTTGGATTAAAAGTAGTATTGTAAAAGGCCACGGGCTAACGTTAGCTTCCCGTTAGCTTCCATTGGCACAGTGTTTCCCCGCTCAAACACTGCGGTAAATTCAGCTATAATAGTATCATATCGACTAATATATATTCGATAGGCTTCGTTGACATTTGAAGGTGTGTGTGTTATGTTGTGGTTACATTTGGATTAAAAGTAGTATTGTTATTAACATAGCTTCAACGTGCTTTGCCCCCCAGGTTCAAGTTTCAGACTCCACCAGGTTCTATCCTGAGCTGACCAAAGCATAAGGACAGCAGGTGAAGAATTTGGACTTGACTCGAGTAACTCAGTTGTCACAGAGAAGGTCCAGGTTAAAGGCACGCCATATGGAAATGGTATGCTTGTCTTACTGAGATATACTAAAGGACAACTACAGTTAGGACAAATAGCGAGCATTATTATAAAAAATTAAATGAGTGTCCTACTTTTGCTTCCGGGGAAAACTGCCAGCTGGGTTCCTGAGCTTGGAGTCTATGAAGTTGATGAAAATATATCTGATATGTTTAGCTGCCAAAATCTGGACAAACTTAATGATTATTATCCACTTTCTTCTTACCAGAGAGTTGCGAGGTTGCTCATTCCTCTTAAACACATGCCAACATGGAGCTTGTGAAAGAGTTGGTTAAGAAAGCCATACCATCGCTCAGTAGTGATAAGATGGATGCACTCATGGCTAGACTGGTGGAATTAGGAGTTCAATGTGAAGATGACCTGATCCTTGTGGAGGCCCCGGACATTCAGGACACTCTGCCACTCATTCAGTGCAGAAGACTCGTTAAAGCTTTCCAAGGAGGTACGTTTTTTTAATTTGTAACCCTAATCTGCACAGTACTGAGGGGTGGACAACACCGACAAAATCAAATATCACTATTGTATTTATGACTATGTTATGTTAACAGTTGTAAGTTCAGTTCATTCTTTAAAATCAGGAAAACACAACAGGTATCACAATATGATACCCAAAATCCTATTCAATAATCTCATATGATATATCAATATATTGCCCAACCCTGTATACTATCTGTATACAAATTCACAGACCCTTAAGGGTCCATTTGTACCCCTGGTGGTCTCCAACGGACATTGAAAACCAGTGTATTAATTAATTAGTATCATTGGTGATGAGGTTCATTTTCTACACCTCTGCCACAGAGTGATGATCTGCCCCCAACACCACCTGCCCACTCCCCTTCCTGTGAGCCATATTCCATACCATGGCACAAAATGCCCTCAAAGCTCATGGATGTGTTGGGTGAAAATAAATGGGTAAAGTCGAAAGAAAGACTACAGATGGTTCGGATCGTTGTTGAAGATTACCTCCATAAACACCCTGGAAGACCTGGTAGATCCAAGCTGATGGAAATCGCCAAGAACATTGTAGGACAATATCATCTGTCTTTCAAACAGACAGAGCCCTTTGGAAATATGCCGTTTGCAAAAGATGGTTGTGGTCCTCTCTTTACCCAGCTAGAAAACAGAGTTGAAAATATTAAGAGAACATCAACCCCAGGAAAGAGGCGAGCAGAGGGTGGAGAGGGTGAAGTTCAGCGGAAGAAAAAGTCAAGAAATTCCGATCGTTATGGATGTGTGGAGTGGGATGTTGCTGTCGAGGGAACTGAGAGTAGAGCAGAACTGCTGTCAAAACGAAATGAATTGAAAAGTGCCTTCAAAACCCATGATCCTCAGGTAGGGCTGCTACCATCCATTATGTTCTTGTGAATGTATGGATTACTTTTTGATTGAGTAATGGAGAAGCTAAAATTTGAGTTTGATTTATTTTTGGTATATCAATTCAAATTGGTTTTGTATAATTAACAAAAAATAACTGATCTACAAGTTCACAATGGGACTCGTTGTGCGCTTGTATATCAGCTATTTTCACCCGAAATCGATTTATCTGTATTTATATTGATAATTTGTTTTATTATTGATTGCATTTATTAGTTTGATTAACTGTTGCCTCATATCTTTAGGAGTCATCTGTTCGAAAACTGATGGCTGAAACATATCCCATCCAGCGTGAAACCATCAACGATGGAACCAATGTAAAGGTCCTAAAGGAAGAGTGGCCATTTCTATTTGAAGCTGCTCACCTGTTTGATCATGCATCTAGACTCCTTGGCTTTTCGGTACAAAACAAGCTGGCACAGGAGCTTTCCAAAAAAGAACCGGGGATCAACAACTTCCTTGACACCAAAGGGATGAAGATGGGTGAAGGTCCAGTACAGCTGATCTGTGGCATTGTAAGATACTTCAAGGAAAACCCTGATCACCTTTTCTGCAAAAATGAGGTACATTTTATGGATTTTTAACCCCACTTTGCGCTGCTGATAATATCGAAATTGGTAAACCACCTCTCCTGGAAACGAAGATAAAAGGAAATCAGTAAAATCCTTGATTTATTTTCCCGACCAGGAGAGAATCCCTCATATAATTATACACTTCCATCCCGGCAGAGCTCCTCTGTCTTGGAAGACCAAATGCTGTCCCCTAATAGAACAAGGTCTTGTAAGGACAGACTTCCCCCCCCTGACCGAAAAGGATTCTGATTCTAACATTAATCGATTATGTTTGTGTAAATAATATTTTGCCTGCCTGACTGTGTTTGTGTACATTGGAAACATAAAATCATCACATTCATATGTGTATCTTTGTTGTTTTATTTTCCGAAAACAGGACTCCGCGGATGCTGAACTCAGCCTCCCCTGTACCCCATGCATCCTAATCAGAGGTTTGTAGTTTAATCATTTTTGAATCCCAGCAAGCTTGGATATATGTTCTCCATTTGTTCTTAGGTTTACTGATGAGACGATTTGTTGTGATGAAAAGGTATAGAGTTGGTTGATTTTGTTTTGTAAATGGTGCTCAGAACTATGTTGATTAGGGCCAAAATCTTTAAATGTAAGTACACTTGTATGTAAAGTCTGACAAACTAAATGCAGAATACCTTTTCAAAGTATTTGTTGCTTGTTCTTACCATAACCTGTGTTTGGACTGAGTATGGAAGATTTGGCGCGTGTGTACGTTGTTATTTTTTTTTTTTTAATTACTAATACATATTATTTTTGTAATCTATGTTTAAGGTGATCATCTATTCGAGATTGCTGTTGATCAGGAAGTTGTGAATGACCACATCACCTCCCCCATTGTGGCCCTGAGCTATGCTTTCTGCTTGTTTTATGTCTGCAACATTGAATATCCAAAGGAGATGTCTCTTACCCTGGAATTCATGCAAAGGTAAGCAGCTCATTGTTTTGAAATGTATAAGCTGGGGTATTCAAATTCTGAGACTGAGGGCTTCCCACCAGACAAAGCATGTAAAAAGGTATCCACTCATCTTCCCTTAGATTACTAGCATAGTTGTGCTCAATTCCAGGATGCTTATGGGATCATGATTATTAAATATAATATATATTATATGTTTTGATCACATTGACACTCTACAATCGAGCCAAGATAGCCATTGCTCTTTGACAGGGGTCTTCAATGTTGTTCAGTCCAAGGACCCCTTAGCTGAGAGAGATGAACCAGGGACCCAAATACTGCCTAAAATTGTATTGCAGATTCAACTTTTTCATAGAGTTCATAGACCTGTTTGACAGCACTATCACCAGTGTTGTGTAAAGTTTGTTTGCTTACACATTATCTTTTCTATTGTTTGTTTCATGTTAATGTGTATTATCAAACATATAATCACTTAAACCCTCAATACTTAATAAATGTTCCTATAACACAGGCAGCACATTTTGCAGCTTCCTGTTGAAGGCCCATGCTCTTTCATATAACTTCAGACTACACCAAGTACATAAAAAAGGTCTGTCCTAAGGCATTTGGCATTTATTAGGCTCTGACACTGGGTGATTGGGAAAACATGTACAATATTCCTAACAACTATCTCTGAGCTATCTCTTTAACCAAATACACACATTTAGGCTATTCTATGTGAGCTGCTTTTGTGATTAATATAACAAAATCCATACCAGGATTCATGCCCCAATGTTAATACTTGTTGTGTAACGTGTACATTTGCACCGAGTGTCACAGTTACCAGTTACTCAACGTTTGACGCCTGTGCTCTTGTTGCAGATGAGCTTAGTGGTTGTGTCACACTTAAGATTGACTGAAATCTGACATGTAGACTGCGATATTGAAAGTAGCAAATTTAGATGCAGTTTTAATAAAGTGGTTGTATGTGTGAAATCAAAATTGAGCAACTATGTTGTCTATTTTGTGACTAAAATGTATATAGACTGTGTACAATCATAATCGATGCAAATAAATCAACCCTCTTTACCTTGGCTGCCTGTAAAGCTGCAGCAATGAAATCTGGACCTCTGTCTTTATGCACTGGATCACAACTCGCCTATGGTGATTATGTGGATTGGTCTGCATTATGAGAATACAAACAAACATGATCCACCAATAACCAGTATGTAGCCAATAACCAAAACCATTGTGGATTTAGTAACTCTTCCTGTCAAATTTTCACCTGTGCATTTAACAAACTATAACACCGCATACTGTCACCTCTAAATTGTATATGTATGTTTAACAAACACACAACTCCACGATAAATGTAGCAAATACCATGACATGTTACATATAAAATATAGAGGCTGCTACAGTAGGCTGCTGTAGGCTATGTCACAGTGGTGATTATGACAGGAAAAGTCACTAAATACACTATATAGCCTAGTTTGTCAGCACAAAATAATAGTTTTGTTAATTCATATTGTAAAGGTGCATAATGTTTGTATTCTCAAATGCAAACCAATTACACTGTAAAACATCACAGCCCCATTTAGTTATGTCAAGTTACATTGTCTCTTTAATTCAAAGAGCTCTGACAAGTTTTTGATTTTGAACTCAGCTTTTCTAGTTTAAGAAGGTTAAACTTACATTTATTCACTGTCTTGACAACTTAAACATTTTGTCACATTGACTCAACTTGCCTTAGCAAGTTATCAGTTGAAAAAAGAAACAAAAGAAAAAGGCGGGAGTGCAGGTTTGAGAGCTACGGAAAAAAACGTATGCTTCCACATTTGAGTTAAAAAAAAAAAACCTCCTCCCTAAACTGAATGCAATGTTTAAGCATGGATGTAATCAACTGGTATATCCCAGGCACGCCGGATTCATTTTAGAAGTGGGGGGGCCAAAAAAACTGCGTGTGTTTGGCCCAATCCCAAACCACGCCCTAGACCTACACACTCCCCCTCCGTGACGGAGTGAACTCCGTGGAGTGACACATGAGGCTCCCTCCTGTCAGATGGAGGGAGTAAATACAGCAGCAAGCTTTGGGACAAACTCCCCTCTCTCCGGCAGAAACAGGAAATGCCGTAACTGTATGTAGGCCTAACAACGGTTTCAAATCAGCATCTCTTTGACAACACATTTATATAACTTATATAACTCAAATAAAACTCCAAACATCTTTAATTGTGTTACTTTTTTGTAAAGCTCTTTTAGTTTTAAAACTGATGTTTATAAGCTTCTTAGTTTTTGCAATAGTCTGTAAATATACACAACTTTATAATAAAATGCACACATTTACCTTTTTCTAGACTAAACACAGGTATGATCCTAAGTTAAAAAAATATGAGGTTATCATGAGGTTGTTAACATCGCAATTTATCACTATCGTTTAGTGGTTTTGCAAAGAATTAACCACTCTCTGTTTTTGTACCATTCTGCGTTGAAGTATGGCTACCTTTCTCTTTGCTCAAATAATCTACTAGCGGTCTCCTTTTTTCCGACAGTTAGCTGTACAGCTTTACCTACCTCAATGTCCCGACAACAAACCTCCATGCAGTCGGAACCAGCCTGTTTCGGTTCAACGACGGCGGCGGTGGGGGCGGCGGCGGTTTTGACAGTTTCTGCGGCCGCAGAGGTGCTGCTTTTGGGTTCATCTGGCTTCGCTGTTTCTATGATTGATGAAGGTCCAGGCTCCGGAGATGTGGATGTCAGGGATGTGACCTTCCAGTTGTTACATTTAAGTTTAGATTGACTGTATTTAGTTTTCTTCTGCGCTGGTTCTTCTGACATGTTTGCAAGTGTAGCTATATATTATTTCTAGATTAACGGCTGACACACACAGAACAACGTAACAAATAAAGTAAACAACGTAACAAATAAACAAATCTAAGCTTTTTTATTGGTTGTAATTTACATGGATACATTTGATTGGGTTAAAATGGACATATTCTTCCTGTTATGTCTGCCTGCTTTATTTTACCTAATGCAAAGTGACCTGCTGCTCCATCGAAATCGCATTGACCCGAAGACACATTTTGATTCCTAGCTTTCTAATGATATCAGGATTGTTTTTGTACTCCAAATATTAAGCAAAATATGTCACATTATATAATGACTGTTACAGAGTCATCATTTTGAGAAAAAGGCCTTTAAAGTTTTCTCTTCTCTGGAATCCATCATTTCTCATCATCAATCATCATGATTGATTATTAGCAAATGATCAAAATACTACGGAGGGAAGATATTTTCGTTTGGATTACTGCACTCACGAGAAACACCGGCTGTTGCTATGCCTGCTGTGACGTTAAGCTACTCCGTTCTCCGCTTGTAATTATGCCGAAGCTTCAAAGTTGTATTTATCATCTGAATTTGCCGAAACAAGTTTAATATTCTGAAAGCCAAGACTTTGTTTATTTGAAATTAGATGAAAACAAACTGTAACGGACCCTGCCGTGTTATCTTTACTTCACGCCTTACATTCATAATTTCAGCCGGAGGGAGGGGGAGCGGCGCTGCGGAAGAGCAGAGTGGCGAGTGAGAGGTGAGCTGTGGTCTTCCCTTTACAAGCTTAAACAATCAAAAATAAAAAAATATACACAGCTAGATCAGATCGCGTTTTAGATGCGACTTTAGAGTAGAAGGGAATTATTGAAACGGGATTTGTACAGTGTTCCGCGCCGCGTGTATATGTGTGTTTGTGTATTTTTGCGTTTGTGTATATTGTGTTTGTTTCCTGGGGAAAACACTCACGAGAAACACCAGCTGTTGTTATGCCTGCTGTGACGTTAAATTACTCGGTTCTCCGCTTGTAATTATGCCGAAGCTTCAAAGCTGTATTTATCATCTGAATTTGCCGAAACAAGTTTAATATTCTGAAAGCCAAGACTTTGCTTATTTGAAATCAGATCAAAACAAACTGTAACGGACCCTGCCGTGTTATCTATGATTACTATACTCTTACATTCATAATTTCAGCGGGAGGGGGGGGGGGGGCGGCGCTGAGGAACAGCAGAGTGGCCAGTGAGAGCTGTCATCTTCCCTTTACAAGCTTCAAACATGCCTGTAGCTAGTAAGATTGAATATAGCAATACAAAATAACAAAATATACACAGCTAGATCAGATCACGTTTTAGATGCGACTTTAGAGTAGAGGGGAATTATTGAAACGGGATTTGTACAGTTTTCCGCGGCACAGTTTCATGGAAACACATCAGCTTTTGGACGACAGTCAATATGGATTCAGGAAAGATAGATCAACATCTATGGCACTAATGGAATTAAGTGAGGAAATAGCAAACTGCATGGACAATAAAAAACAAGCAGTGGGAATATTTATAGACTTACAAAAAGCATTTGACACCATAGATCACAATATTTTACTGATAAAACTGGAACGGTATGGCATCAGAGGGGTGGGATTAAACTGGGTGAGAGATTATTGAAGCAACAGACAACAATTTGTTGAAATTGGTGAACAAAAATCAGAATACATGAACATAACTTGTGGAGTACCTCAGGGGTCCGTGTTGGGTCCAAAGCTGTTCATAATATACATCAACAACATTTGCAGAGTATCAAATATATTGAAATGTATTTTATTTGCAGATGACACAAATATTTTTCGTATATGAAATTAAGTTCCTTGGTGTGGTTTTAGACCACAAAATCAGCTGGAAACCTCATATCACTCAAGTAAAAGCAAAACTGGCTAAAACTATCGCAATATTGGGAAAAGCCAGATACATTCTGGACTATAACTCATTGTATACTCTATATAACACACTAATATTGCCATATCTGATTTACTGTGTGGAGATTTGGGGAAACACGTACAAAACCAACCTACAGCCGTTATGCACATTACACAAAAAGGGCTATAAGAGTTATCAAAAATGTTGGATATCTTGAACACACTAATGTATTATTTTTGAAGTCACACATATTGAAGTTAATTGATCTGGTTAAATTTAAAATGGCACAAATCATGTACAGAGCCAGACATAATCTACTTCCTAGGAAATTAAAAACATTGTTCATAGACAGAGTGTTACGATTATTGTGTCATGTCACGTTTTGGGTGT